TGCCCTCTCTCACCAGTTCTATTTAAGAGAGTATTGGAAGTTCTCTGGCCAGGGCAATCAAGTAAGAGAAAGAAATACAGCATATTCAAATAGGAAGAGAGGAAGTCAAATTATTTTTGTTTGCAGATAACATGATCCTATAACTAGAAAACCTCATTGTCTCAGCCCAAAAGCTTCTTAAGCTGATAAGCAACTTAAACAAAATCTCAGGATACAAAATCAATGTGCAAAAATTGCTAGCATTCCTGTACACCAACAACAGGCAAACAGAGAGCCAAATCATGAATGAACTCCCATTCGCAGTTGCTACAAAGAGAACAAAATACCTAGGAATACAGCTAACAAGGGAAGTGAAGGACATCTTCAAGGAGAACTACAAACCACTGCTCAAAGAAACCAGAAAGGTGACAAACAAATGGAAAAATATTCCATGCTTATGAATAGGACTCAACACTGTGAAAATGGCCATACTGCCCAAAGTAATTTATAGATTCAATGCTAGTCCCATTAAACTACCATTACAGGAGAATATTCTTAACTGAGATAGGGGACCAGATTCAGAGGAAGAAGTATGGATTTCATTTTGAACACGTTGAGTTTGCAGTGTCTTTGAGACAAGTGGACAGTGGGCTATCCAAAGGCAACTCAGAGAAGAGGTCTGGAGTGGATATAAATGAAGAGGTGGAGAGCACACAAATGACCACTGACACCTTGGATCTGAATCCCGCTGTTGAAAGGCAGAGCACAGAATGGGAGGAGAAGAGAATAGGGACTTGGAGCCTTTAGGAACATCAGCCTTTAATGGCTTGGTAGAAAATGAGGTAGCTGAGGATGCTAAAGAAGAATGGCTGAGAAATTTAAAAAGAAAGAAAATCCAGAAGAATGTGTTGGGGGAGTGTGCTGGTTCTCACAATGAGAAAGATTTCATAAGCACATAAAGAGTCAGTGGTGCCCTTTGAATGGTCACGTGGTCATACAGACTGATATAAGCAAGGTCATCAGTTACTTAGGAAGAGCTGTTTCCATGAACGAATGGTGACAGGAAGAAAATGGAGATGAAAAGCCATCATCAACTCTTCCAAAAACGTCGACTGAGATGGAAAGAGAAGAAGGGTGTCAGCTGAGTAGGTTTGTAAGATTAGGCTATCAAGATTTTCAGAGCAATATTTTTAAGATGAAAGAAGTTTGAACTTGGAAAATGGGGAAACCAGGGAGCAGGACTTTGATCAGAGAGGTAGGAGGAGAGACAGAGGAATATAACGAGGAACAACAGGTATAAAGTTAAATTTTGATTCAGTCTTGATTAAAATGAAAAGAAAACACATTCTGATAAGACAACTTCAAAGGATAATCTGCTTGGCATATCTCGATAACTCAAAACGCTGTGTTGGTTATTTCCATTTTTAGCAAGAGAAGAAAGAAGACAAATAACATTTAGATTCCAGTGACTGAAATCACAGTAACCAAGAAGCAAGCTTAGAAATCAGCTAGAAGGGCCAAAGGTTTTATTTAAGTTAAAAGCTTACATGCCTTGTCTTGCTGTCATGAATTACAGCTTCTTTCTTGAATATTTACAAAAATAGGACAAGGGGCTTTCAAAGATATTCAAGTCTTAATTCCAAAATTTTGTTTGATCACCCAGGCCTGAACTCTCATTGCATGACTAATGTATATCATACATAAAATGACACTTGTCAGGAAATTTCATTTTTTCTTCAGCTATAAAATATGAATCTTTTTTAAAACTCTGTTTTCTCATTTCAGCTCTAGTTAACCTCACCAGCCTTGTGTTAATTATATAATTACATGTAAATATAGATATAGATGTAGACATAGGAATAGATATATTAATTATAAAAATAGACCAACATAGTCATAGGCATAGATATACATACACATTTAAATAACAGTATGATATTATGAGCTCTTCTGGTGATTAAAAAAAAAAGGCGTAAGGTTCTTTGGGTATGGTTTACATTGTGCTTGTAATAGGTTTTAGTTGAAACACAATGAAGCACAAGTTTTTCATCTGAACTTGATTTATTCCATAGTATATAAATTAAGAAAGGAACAAATGAGAGATGAGATAACCCATGGTATTAAAGGCTACAGAGAGGTCAAGGGAGGAAATTCCAGGGAAAGGACTCATTCCTGGATGACAGGGAAGTTTGGTGGCCTTTTCAAGTGTGTTGCACAGAATAAGATATATGGGAGAAAATGACATTTCAGGGAAAGATTAGGTGGTGAAAAAGAAAAAGCTTGCAAAATTAAGAACAGAAAACATGAGGGTGTCCGTACTGAGGTAAAATTCTTTCGGAGAAGATGGGAGGGGAGAGACAAGGGGGAGAGAGGAATACCACTGTATTAGTGAAAGATAAAGGGAAATGTTTAACATTGAGCTATTAGCTAGTGTTATCAGTCATAGTCCCCAATTTTTATCTGTTTTTGACCTATTTTCATTTTCTTTGGGCTCTTCTGGGAACAAAGATATCTTTTTGAAGCCTCTACTCCCTTTCATCATTTAATAATTGCTTCTATTTTTCAGCATTTGCTAAAAAGGCTATTTCTCAGCCCTGGGAATGCACTGGCATTAAAGGTGACAAACGGAAGCTGTACTTTGAGCTTTTCCAAAAAGCACTTCAGAAATCAAAGGCATTGCTATATTCTTACTATTTATTCCCTCCTTTCCCTGAAGGCTTGGTATGACATTATTTCTGATCCTCAAAGAGAATTCTTCTCATTTAGCCATTATACTAATAATCTGTGATTCTAAAAAAGCAATGAATATAGAAATTGATCAACCTAGCCCAGTAATCTCCTCTTTCCCTTAGTTCCAGAGCTATGGATCTGAGCCAAGAATCAGAAATAGCATTGTAATTCATTTCATCTTCCATGTAAATCATATCCAGCAACGCATAAATTGTGAGGGAGGGCATAGAGCCAAGCCCATCAGCTCTGTGCAAACAGATCCACAAGCTCAACAGGCACTGATAGCATGAGATGTTAACTCATGAATAATCCTTCCATGATTTTACACTGTTATATAACCAGTTGCTTTTTATAATGATATTGGAATAATTAATTGGAATGATGAGTTGAGGACAAAAATATGAACTTATTTAAAAAATAAGTAGTAAATATATCTAAGAAAAGTACCAGTTGTTCTTCATCAAGACAAAGTTGGATGGATCTTAACAACACTCAGAAAAAGATAATAACTAGGAGAACTCCTACTTAACATTTTCCCACTTACATAGCTCCTTATATCAAAGGTATCACCCATACGGAAGTATCTAATAACAACCTGAGGGGAAAGACTGTTTTAAACTCCAAATGTAATCCATGCTTGGCAGTCCATGTAATTGGAAGTCACCTGTAGATGAGCAGGTTCTAAAATAAAACACTGTAACAGTAGGTGAATGTGATTCCAAGTTGTGACTGCTCAACATGTTCAGTAATTTGATTTGGTCATAGATAGGTAGACAGACAGACGGATATAGATGATAGACAGATATATAGATAATAGATAGATAGATAGATGTAATGACAGGTATAAATAAAAGCAGCTCAAACTCTTTGTGTCTATTGACCAACTAGAGTTTCTTTACACCCTGACAGAGCTCACACAAATGATCACAAATAAATGTATTTCTAAATATATCCGTTACTTGAAAATGAAACAGATGTTAGAAGTCTGGATGGTGGATGACAGTATTCGAAAATAAACCAATCTAATATTAAATAAGCACATAGTTTAATAATATTCTCTTTTCCAATAGTCAGAATTAGAAAAACAGATCCCACTGAAACATGAAAATGTTCCAGAAGTTAAGACATGAAAACATCTTTGGATACCTGAAAAGTAAATAAGCAGGAGGCCTGCTTTTGTTTTGAGTTAGCGCTGATACAGATTAGAGAGCATGTTTCTTTAAAGACCAGAGTGCAGGCTCCATGTTTTGTTCACTGATATGTCCCAAGATCCTAGAATAATATCTGGCACATGGCAGTGTTTATTATTTATTAAATTGAATTGTTGCTGGCATTCATGGCATGAAAATTGTAGAATAAGGTGTCCACCACCTTATTCTCCACTCATCTATCATTTAGTTTTAACTATTACTCTCAACATAAGATAAAAGTAGAAAACACTCATTTGTCACTTAACATTTAGGAATAACTTGCCACACGTATCCTCATCCAGTTCTCTGGGTTCTGCACACCCTGGAGGCAACTGGGCACCAGGAGCCCACATTGGAACCCCTGTCTGATGCCTGACTCTGTTCTTAGCTGCTGTCACTGTTAAGGGTTAAGCTATGTCCCCTCCGCCCCCAAAATTCATATGTTGAAGTCCTAATCCACAGTCTCTCAGAATGCGACCTTACTTAGAAATAGGGTGATTGCAGATGTCATTAGTTAAGTTAGGATTAGGTCATACTGGAGTAGGATAGACATATGATTAGCTGCTTTATAAGAGATGGAAATCTGGACTCAGACATGCATACAGGGAGAAGGTCATGTGAAGATGAAGACAGCGATCAGAGCAATGCTTGTACCAGCTGGGCAATGTCCGTGATTACCAGGAAACCACCAGAAGTTAGGGGCCCCCTCACAGCCCTCAGAAGGAACCACCCCTGCTGAACCCTTGACTTTGGACTTCTGGCCTCTGAAACTATGAGGCAATAAATTCCTGTTGTTTAAGCCACCTAGTGGCACTTCATGGCAGTTCGCAGCATCCAGCTTGTGGCACTCATTTCTTCTGGTTGTAAGCAACCCTAGCAATCTAATACAGCCACCTACTTACTCCTAGCAGTTTGTCAGATGCCCTGCCAGGGTACTTGTAGCCCTGACTTTACTCCCACTGGACACTCTCTCGTACAGGGCTGAGAGTTCCCAAGATTGCCTCCCATTTATCCCAAAGCATCCACAATTATATGTTGTCAATGTCTGACATGTTCTTCCATCCAATAGCACAGTTATTACACCTGACACCTTTCCCTTACCGTTTCCTGGTTTCTGTGCTTGAAGAGGCATTGTAACCTGGAGGGGGCGGTGGAAACCAGGACTGCCTGTAAAGAAATGACACGATAATAAACACGGTGCTTGAAAGGCTCATCACACCCACGTGTCTGAACATAATTTGACAGTTAAAAAGGCATGAGATTATACCGAGCCTTGGAAGTAAAATGAACACTATTTCATAAATGAAGTGGGATGTAACTGTCCAATATTCTAGGCTATCTGTTCCTCCAGGTAAACTTCTTTTCTCATTTCCTCTGGCACTAAGTAACGTGGACACTTCTTTTAAAAAGAAATCTAAAGCAAGCCTGGAAAATAATGACAATTGTTAAATCTAGAGAGCAAATTCATATTTGTTTATCATGTTATTCTTCCTATTTTTCTGTATGTCTGAACTATTTTATAACAGAAATAACAATCTTATACTCTACTCAAAATACAATTTTTAAAAAACTGTGATAGAAAACTCTGACAAGTAAGAATATTGAAAGCATAAGTGAATATCACAGCAGCACCACCTTCAGTTCTAACCTCAATTAGGAAGATGTCCTGATATCACTAGGACATAATTTTAATTGGTAGTAATAGCTAAGCAGAAAGGCCAAGATCTGTATGAAAACTGAAGATGTTCAGATGAGAATGACACACACTACAGAAGAAAAGGCATACAGGAAATCGGGCTTTAAATTCTTTAAGTAGGTCTATTCTCTGAGTCACCACAGAACTGAACTAAGACAAGATAGGAGTCAATCAAGGCAGATTCCAGCTCAATGTAAAGAATAGATGCTGCCCAGACAAGCGAGTCAAAGGTGTGTCCCAAAATAGTCAGAGTCTTATTGCTGGCTTCAGTGGCCCTGAATTATGCCTAAAATGTCAGAGGAAGGATTCTTACACTAGGTAGGAGATTGAACTAAGTGACCTAAAAATTTCTCTTTCAAACTTAGGAATCTGTTTTCACCAGCAAAGGGTGAAGGGGCGTGAAACGTAGGTTCCAGGGAAAGATGAGCCACATTTTCTGAGACCTTGCAGCTACAAAAAAACCTTGTTGAAGGAAAAAATAGAATCAGTCATTTTTCTCTGGCAGCACCATGGCAAAGTCAGCCAGTCCATCAACAAACATTGAGCACCTACCCTATATGGAACATGGACCCAGGTGCAGACAGGGAAATTGAGAAAATTTAAAAGTACTGACATTTATAAATGCTTGTTTTCCATTTACCTCACAATTCATAGCCCTAGGGGTTTTTAAACATGGCAAAAATCTCTTCCACCATCATGTTCTGTCTCATGAAGATTATTGGGTCACCACTGGTTCAAGTACTCCTCTGTACCTGCTAATTGCATAGGACTCAGCACCAGCAGAATGTGGGAGACCATGCAGGGGAGGTCAGAGGAGAAGGCAAGAATCACACAAATACAGATGAATGTCTCCAGAAAGGGTCTTTCTTTGACTCTGTGTTTGGAAGCAACGTCAGCTCAATCCATAGAGCAGAGGCATCGGCTCCAGATACAGGCTGGTTTCAGAAGCATGGAAACATGTGGCCTTACATCCATCATTATTTCAAGTTAAGGCATTCCCAGCAGCAGGACTCCCTGAAACATGCTACCTCAAGTCGTCTGCCATTTAACATGTGAGCTCTATCATCTAAAACATTTCATAGAAATTCAAGCCCCTAAAGGAACTGAAAATAAGACTCTATATTTGAGAAAGAGATTGTTGGGGGAAAGAGCTGAAGTTTGGGAACAGCAGAATGTAGATGCTGTATCCTGGGAAAAAGAGGAGAAAGCTTTCCAAGGCTGCCTGGGAGTTTGGTGGATGATTTGGTTCAGAAATTAATTAAAGAGCAGTCTTTCATAGTGTGTCAGCAAGAGGCAGACACAATGAACTCATTGTACCTTTTTTTCTTTACAGGAGTAGTAGCAGAAGGGGATGCTGTGGTGTTGGAGGTGTTTGCATTCAACGAACCGCCAGGTTGCCTGTTTAATGACAAGAACAATAATTAATCACACTCTCATACTTTTCCATTTCACGCCACCTTTGAAAAGTCTTAACGTCTACTCATACTCCTGCCTGCTCTCTGTTCATCACAAAATGTTTCACTTGAGGATGGAAAAACAGCCAAAAATCTTCTTCCTGACTTCCTTAGCTTAGAAGTCGTCAGGCTCTCATATAAGTAGCTAAAACTAAAGGAATGGAATAAAGAAGTGATTCATAAAATGACATTAACTGTCGGAAATTCTGACCAATCCATTCCGTGTGCTACAGATTCACATTTCGTTTATTCCTGTGATTGTATTGTGACTAATTATGTTGCAGTTTTTGCATTACAAGCATTATTGCTTAGGAAAACATTTTAAATCATACAATCTTAAGTCTCTATCTAGCATTTATTTATATATGCACATCCTCAAAAAATGGAAGTGACCCAGGCCTGTTTCAAGCTCTGAGGGGTATGATCCAGTGTGTAAATTACTTTATACATAAATAGGAATTCAAAAACAAAATAAGTTTATAAATCTGTCCAATTTGGGCTGCGTATAACCACCAGTAGTACATTCCAGAGAAAATGTACTTCATTTAAAGAGATTTTTAGCTCACCCTATGATTTCCCAATTCAATTTTCTCTGAAGGAGGAGGTGTAAATGTGAAGGGTAGGTGGGGAAGGAAGTGAGGTGTGAAGGAAGGGTTAGTTATTGTGGGGGTAGAGGGAAGAAAAGTCCTGTGGGAGAAAAAATAAGGAGTCCAGATTTTAATAAAGAAGAAGAAAGAAAGGATGACCTAAGCTTTGGTGTTTGGTTAGAGTAGTGATTGGCCTTTTTTTCTGCAAAAGTCCAGAGGGTCACAATTCAACCTTGGCAGACCATTTTGGCATCTGTCTTCTGATACTCAACTCTGCCAGGACAATAGGGGCATGGCTGTGTTCCAGTAAAATTGGCCTGTGGGTGGTATACCCTGGATTTTCTTGAACATATACAAAGAAATATACTACAATTAGAAAGAATACATACAACTTTGTTACTCCCGATGATCTAAACGTGGACATGCTCCTGGTAAGAGAGAAGAAAGCGAAGTTTTAACAATGATGAACATTTGCATCTATTTGGAATTATTCTTAAATTTAGAGTTATTAAAAGTTAGACATTGGTTGAGAGAAATAGAAAGCATCATATTTGAATAAATTTAATGAGATGACCTCATGATTTTGTTTCTTGACTAGATTCCAAAGAAATTTTTTTCTTCTGAAAATTCAGCATATTTTAAGCCCAATGTTTTTATTTGTTGGGTTCAGTAATTTTCCTTAACAGTAATAATGTAAAATTTGCATTTGCACCTATTTCATAATTTTGCCACCAGGACAACTTAAACAGAAACATACATGTGTTAAGAATGGTGATTTGGTCGGGCGCAGTTGCTCAAGCCTGTAATCCCAGCACTTTGGGAGGCCGAGGAGGGTGGATCATGAGGTCAAGAGATCGAGACCATCCTGGTCAACATGGTGAAACCCCGTCTCTACTAAAAACACAAAAAAAATTAGCTGGGCATGGTGGTGCGTGCCTGTAATCCCAGCTACTCATAACAAGAGCAAAACTCCGTCTCAAAAAAAAAAAAAAAAAAAGAATGGTGATTTGGAGCTACAAGTGCTCTTGATTTTTAAGCTCAACAACAAGGTTTCATTCTAGCCATGTACAGGAGTAATGATTTTTACTCCTGAATTTCTGCAATAAAAATATCGAGACTAAGAATTTACAGAAAGATATCAAGTAGGTTTGAAGACTTGCAAGTACATAGGTAACACTTAGAAAAAATATTATACTTGAGCCTTTCCCACAGTTAGTAGATACTGGTACCTATTGGTTAGTTGGTTATCCAAGGTATTGGCCTTAAATGTTTTAGCAGCGTCCTTTCTGTCTGAGATCCTTTATAAAGAAACAAAACAAAAGTCTGGATAAACATTTAAGTTATCAAACTCCTTTCAGACCTTTTTCATGCTAGAATAACTTAACAACATAGCCTTTCTCTAGTAAAGAGAACCATTGTTCAAGTGTTACATTTTAGAAAATTTTAAAATACAAGGAAACTACTTATGACAAAATCTACTTATAAGTTGTTTTAATATAGTTTGAAATTTTATTTTATTTTATTTTATTTTATTTTTTATTTTTGTGAACTGGAGTCTTGCTCTGTTGCCCAGGCTGGAGTGCAGTAGTGTGATTTCAGCTCACAGCAACCTCCACCCACAGGGTTCAACCTATTCTCCTGCCTCAGCCTCCTGAGTAGCTGGAACTACAGGCATGTGCCCTGATTCCCAGCTAATTTTTATAGTTTTAGTAGAGACAAGGTTTCACCATGTTGGCCACACTGGTCTCGAACTCCTGACCTCAGGTGACCTACCTGCCTCCCCCTCCCAAAGTGCTGAGATTACAGCCATGAGCCACTGCACCCAACCTGAAATATTAAAAGTGTTATGCCTTTTGCCTGTCTTTCTGACTCATTGAGCATTTAACTCATTAACTATTTTAATTTTCATTATTGTCTAAAGATATATCTTGTCAATGACTACTTCCTACGTCAGTGAAAGGCAGCAACAAAATACTTAAATTTTTTTAACTGTTTGTGGCATAGACAATATTATGTGTTTGCCAAATACATTTTCTTTTATTTCTGAGTAATCAGGGATACCACATTTCCTAACCATCGTTGCAATTGAGTTGGGACTATGTGATTGAGCTCTAGACTAAAGAGTGGGCAGACATGTTATCTGCTACTCCCGAACCCATTGTAAAACCTCCTGGTGATCTTCCATGTTCTTTCTCCCCTCTTCTACTATGGCTTTCGTATGCATGGGTTAAAGATGGCAGCATTCAAATATAGAAACAACTTAGGTCCTTGAGTCACTTCATGGACTCCAGCAAATTATACTGGGCTCTGATGAGTCAAGCAATACCTTATAGTGTGTTAAACCATCTAGAAGAGGAAGGGGACTTGTTAAAAAGTTACTCTACCTTGACAAATTAGTTTATTTTGACTAATACATGTAATGAGTCTAAATTGTCATTAGAAATTTTAATCATTCTAATCTCATAGATCTAGAAAAGGTGTGTTTATTTGCTTTTTGTGTCAGAAAGCACAAATAAGGAAGGTTATCATTCTATACAAATGGCGGGGTCTCATAACTTCAGCCTCTGTTTTCTTTCCTTGTCTCTTACCTACTACTTTTTGCTGGTCATTTGATATTCTTTTCTCTACTCTCCAGAACATCCCTACAAGGTACGTGTAATGATTTTCATTTTGTAGGTAAAGAAATGGAGTCTCAGAGTCATTTGTGTGGTTTTCTCTTGGCCACACAAGTAGAAAGTAGTCTATCTCCCAAGTTGTTCACTGGGATCCAATGTCATATATCTGATTCTGTAGTATGATTGCTCCCCAAACTCATATATTAGGTTAACACGCCTTCCTTTAGTCTTTGTTCTTCACCTCTCACAATCTCTTTCATGCCACCCAGGGGAAAAGTCTATCAATGGTAATTGAGAGAACTCTAAACAACCATTCCAATACATATGCTGATTTCTTATTGCTGGGGGAGATTAATTTTGTATTTTTCCTGGAAATTAAATTTTCTGTCAACTTGTGATATAAAATAAGTGGTTTTAATAAAAATCGGTCTTGGAAACTTGAAATTCCAAACAATGTAATTAGCAACATGAGCAGAAGAGCCGAAGGAAAAGTTATACTTTCACAACAGAGCACTAGGGGGCCTCCTAACCTAGGTTTTCCAAGTTAGTTATGACCCACCATCTCGGCATGCTACATACACATTTACGTTTCTTTTGCGCACCTCATCTTTTACCCACATAAGCATGTTTTAAAGGGAACTTTTCAAATGTAAACTCAGTACTTTTCTCATATTCATCAAAACAAGTGTATCATTATTAAAATGCAAATGCACACATACCAGATATATTTGATCATCTTCCTCCTAAAATTATGTCACGCCTTAGATTTTAGAATGGTCTGTATTACAGAAGTTCAGCTCCTGCTAACAGGACTTGCCTTTCTTTACTGACTCCTGTGTTCCCTTCCTCAAGTCTATTTCCGCATTCAGTGCCTTGGGAATGAGCTGCCAGGATACTGTTCCCAAACATACCATTAACTTGTGTAAATAAATCATGTAATTGCTGGGCCTGTTTCTAGGGTGTAAAATGAAGGGCTTGGGCTATATTGGTGGTTCTAAATCTCAGCTGCACATAAGAATTACCTTATAAGCTTGAAAAAAATGCTTGAGTTCCACCTCTGGTTAACAAAATCAGATTTAGGGGAGTGAGGGGTAGTAGCACCAATGCACAAATAAAGTTTAAGAGCACCGTCAGTGGTTCTAATTTATCACTGAGGCTGAGAATGACCTAACTACATTGCCTGTGAGGTCTAGTCTATTTCCAGCATTCCCAGGCTGTATCTCGGCTAGCCTAACGTAAATGTTCAGACACACAGCCTACAAAAGCTTAGGTCTTCCCCCTTACTTGAGGTGTAATTATCTCACTTTAAAATTCATTCCTAGAAATAGGGTTTCCTTCTGCAATTAACCATCTGCAAGGCCAGGATGAATGGACAGAAGTATTTTATCTACCTCTTCTCTATGCACTGCTGTAGAGAGGAGATCTTGCATATATACTACAAACTCATTTTTGACAAGGATGATGATTTTTAAAAGAGCAAGACCAACCCCTTAGGATTCCAGCCTTGACTGTCCTCTATTAGGATGACTGATGTGAAAGGCTAGGAATAGTGCAGAAGGGATATACATTTGCTGTATTAATCAACACTGGCATAGTCTGAGTTTAGAGTCTATTGGACGCTGCAAGTTACCACATACTTGCTTAAAACCCAGTAGGTGCCATTTTTGCCTACAATTTCAGCACATCTTTAGCTGCAGGGAGTAAACCCAACTAGCACCGGCTTTGGGTATTCGTGGTGCCTAGACTACTATTAAAGATGTGAATTTTGTCCTTTACTTACGCTTACTAAGCATCTCTACCAAATCTAAACTAAAAATGTGATTTGTGTTGGGAGACCACGGCGAGCAGATCATTAGGTCAAGAGATTGAGAGCATCCTGGCCAACATGAGGAAACCCCGTCTCTGCTAAAAATACAAAAATTAGCTGGGTGTGGTGGCACATGCTTGTAGTCCCAGCTACTCCAGAGGCTGAGACAGGAGAAACACTTGTACCTGGAAGGTGGAGGTTGCAGTGAGCAGCGATCACACCACTGCACTCCAGCCTGGAGAGAGAGCGAGACTCCATCTCAAAAAACTAACAAACAGAAAACAAAAACAAAAATGTGCTTTGTGGCATTTATACTTCAACCTGAATAAAAGTTGCTCTATTTTCCCTGTAGAGATGAGCCCTTTCCCTCCATGTAAGAAGGATCTAGCAGGCACATACGTTGGACTCATTCTATCCACCCTATGGGGACTCCAGGGCTGAAAGAGTATTTTCACTTTCTAAAGTGAAAGTAAAGAGCTAATATCTCTGTCCTGGAGTAGATTGAATGTATTGTACTATTAAAATTTACAGTCTCTCCATAAAGCAGTTGCACAGACTGATGTTTTTCTACCATCCGTGTGGAAGAACCAAATGTTGGAACAAGGATTACACATATTCACACACACAAAAACTCTATATTCTCCATTTTAAATTGAACTAACAGATTCCTCATAGTACCCACCCTAGCTGTACTCAAATCAGTGTCTCTAAGAATTTTTTATGTCATTCTACTATTAGCAAAATTTTAGAAATCCATCTAGTCAAGATTTAGTGAGATTTGAAGAAGGTGATTCAATTCTTAGAGCCCTCCATCCCTTGGAATAAAATATAAAATTAAATCTTTAGTATCTAGTGGTTCAAACCTTATTTTGGTAAACGTTTAAATACTTCATAACTTTATGAGAAAAGGAATTTAGTACGTTATGCATTTCACTTACATGGTTCAAAAGCACCTTACCTGTCTAAAGTGTCATCAGAACTATACCGACTGATTGCAGCTTTTGGCATATTTCTCTCATTTATTTTCCTGTAGCAAAAACAATTACCATAAAATTAAATAAATTACAAAAAATAGTTTATAAAACCTATCATACATATGGCAATATTTTGACCTATTAGGAAATTGACATGTTACCAAGGAAAGACAGATTTGGAGTACCCAACTCTTGCAACTTGGATAGAATAAATTATGGAAAATCTAATTTCTTATGCTAATAAAAGATTCTTCTCTGGCTTCAATTATTTCTAACAACAATGTAACATATTCAGATTGGGAATAAGGATGCGTAAAACATACATCACAACAAACAACACAACACACAAAATGGTTAATAACTAATATGTACTCTTGTCAATGTTGTTTATTTCTACATAATAGGAACTCAATCTTTTATACTCAATTATGTTTTGTTCACAGAGGTTCAGCAGTGCCATTAGCCAGCACCACAGACTAAACCCATAAATACTTTATTTAATATTCAGCACCGTGGACAGGGTTGAAAGAAGGGAACCTACAGGCAGAAGGAGGGAAAAGAGAGGAAAGAAAGGAAAGGAAGGAAACAGGAAAAGCTGGAGAAGATGAAAAGGACAAGTGGGAAATGAGAGAAAGGAAGGATAGGAGGAAAAGAGGAAGAGAGAAGAGTGATAGGAAGAAGGAAAGGAGAGACAGGGAAAAGAGAGAAGAGCAAGACAGATGAGCAAAAATGCGGGGGGGGGGAGCAATTCAGAAAATAACAGAAAGGAGGACAGAAGGCTCAATAGAGGGAATCACGGAAGCAGAGGAAAGATTTTGATCAGATTTACCAAACTAAAAAGCTCGTTTAATGCCTCATAAAACCCTACAATATAAAGCAAGCAAGCTCTTTAGAGAGTTGGCCATTATTTATTGTGTTTGTATTTCCAAGTATAATTTAAAGCCAGCATATTCAAAGTATTGCATTAGAATAAGTACTAAGACTAGATACTAAAGATTTAATTTTAAACTTGATATGGCATAGTTTCACTAAGAGACTATTTGGATGTGCTCAACATGTACTAGGAAGAATGCAAAAAGGTATATTTGCTATATTAATAGTACAGAAAGTAATATTTGCTATATTAATCAACACTATTGTACTTATAAAGAAATCTAGAATAAAATAACTATAGCTGCTATCCACACAGAGCAAGAGGGGCAAATCAGATATGTACATCCAAAGGCAGAAGGAAGTCAGTGCCATAAAAGAGGTTTAGTTAATGTGTAAGGAAGTTCTAAGCTGAGAAAGCTGATTTCTAGGTATACAAACCAGAGAAGGCTTTATGGAATGCAGTGCTGTTTGAGCTGGGCCTTGAAGGAGAAATAGATGTGAACATTTTCAAATAGAGGTAGAGGGAACAGTATCAGTTAAGGCAAGAAAAAAGTGAAGAAAAATGCCTAAGACAACTCCCCCAAGGTTTAATACAACCTCAAAGTGAAATCATTGTGTGGTTCACCATTGTGTGTAATGTGTAAATGCAAACAGGTGCTGAAGGGTCATCTGACCCCTTCTAGAAAACAGCCCCTCCCCAGAACCATCACTATGCCTCCAGGTGACTATTGTCTTCCTACTGCTTATCACAGTAAGGCGTGCTATTACATGTTATTTTCATTCTCTCCTCTCCCTCACTTTCAACTAGAACACAAGCTCTGTGGAAGCAGGGACTTGGTTTTGTTTGCAGCTCTTAACACAGCTACTGGTGCACTGGAGGCCTCCCACAGGTGCTATGTGGCTATCATCCTTATTTGACATGTTTAAAAGATCAACAAGAACACGTGCACAGTTACACGTTCCAATTGTGGATAATGTGAAGGTATTTTCTAAGGTGATGACAGCGTAGTATTTATTTTCCTTTATTTTCGGTCACCACTTATGCCAGCTCCCTGCACACATTGTTATCTCTGCTGAAAGTGCTTCTTCCTTGCTGTATGCCCACCAGCCAGCCTGGCCCATTTGGGAATTTTTTCCTCATAATCCTTCAAGCATTGCCAACACCAGACCCCTTCCTTGGTGAGGCCTCTGATTATTTAGGCAGAGTTAGTCTCCCCTCCTTTCTATTCCCATAGTGCACTCACACAACTCTACCATAGCACTTTTCATGGCAAACTTTAGCATTTTCATTTGTGGATCTTTTCTCATGAATACAAGAGCTCCTAAGGTCAAAGATTATGTTCAATGCCTCTTTGCATTCCTGGCACCTGGCACAGTACTGACACATAGGGGGTGCTCCAAAGTGGCTGTTTAGTGGGCATCAAAGTAAAGACAGCCTCTGCAGAGCAGAAAATATGACAAGTGATATCCTCTTAGCAAGTACCAGGAGAAAAACAATCTGCCTTACTCTTTTAGGGAGATTGATTCTGTGCTGTTAGTTATAGGTCAAGGGGGAAATGTCTAGGCCTTACAGATTTTTGTTCCTTAAAATATTGATATGCTACTTCAGCCACAATGCTGGCCACCACAAGGAAGGGTTCAGGAAACTGATGCCATTTAAAATATGAAATAAGCATGAAATGCATTAAGTTCCTGTTAACCTAAAACACACTGTACATACACTAAGAACATGAAGCATATTTCACACTTAAAAAACACAAGTATCTGTGTTCTTTAATTGTTCCAGAGAAAGGTGAATAACACAGAGGCAGCAATTTCCATTGGTGGCTGGACTCAAATGATGAGCCTCTCCTTTGTTGGTGAGATGAGGGCCAGCTGACAACCAGTCTGTGACCTTCAAATCATAGAGACTAAGGACAGGACCTCGGCAGAGTCTGCAGATCACAGAATAGTAAATCAGATGAACCAAAGCTGCATGAGGAAAACAAAACAGCGACTCTAGGTAGAGGGTTATCAGCTCAGCACCCTTAAAGCAGGTCAAAATTATGAAAAGGTTTAAAAGGGTTGAAAGAAATTCATAAACAAACATTTCTAAAATAGACATGTCCCAGGTGTCTGCTTAACTTTTTAAGCTTGTCCCAAGCTCAAGCCCATTATGTCTGAATATGTTGGTGGATTTTAAGATCCACACCATAGAAGACATTCACACTCCCTTTCTAAGTACATTTTAATGACAAACAGACACAAGCTACTAGACCAGATAAAACTTGTGTCTGATAAATAATTAGGTTCTTCTGACGGGTATGGTTGTTTGTATGCATGTGGGTACAACTGTGTTTTAGTAAGAATATTTTCTATTTTTTATCAAACTGAGATGATTTATATCATTGTGATTACTGTTTTGTCTTAACTTTTCTATAATTTGCTTTGATCAGTTTATTTGTCACTGAGGATCAATTCATGTTTTCCCACTAACCCAGGAGTTTCCAAAAAGAAAGGTACTGTCCCATAAAGCAAATGAACTCTGGAGTTTTTTCTGTATTTTAGGATGCCTTTCCCTAAGATTCAGAGATATCTGATCTGGTCATGTTGCTGTTGTTGTTTTTGCTTGTTTGAGAAACAGTCTCCTCTGTCACCCAGGCTGGAGTGCAGTGAAGCATCACTGCTCACTGCGGCCTCAATGTCCCAAGCTCAAGCAATCTTCCCACCTCAGCCTCGGGAGTAGCTGGGACTTCAGGTGTGTACCACCACATCTGGCTAATTAAAAAAAAAAATTTTTTTTTGTAGAGAAAATGTCTTGCCATGTTGCCCAGGTAGATCTCGAACTCCTGGGCTCAAGTGATCCTCCCACCTCAGCCTCCCGAAGTGTTGGGATTACAGGCACGAGCCACCGCACCCAGCCTGATCTGGTCATGTTTCTATGAGAACCTTTCCCTGCCTGTTAGGAGGACCACCTCAGTGGGATGCACAGAGGGTTGGTTGTGTTCTGCCTCCAAGTCATTGTTCTGGAGAGGCAGAGTTTCCCTGTGGAAACCTCTGATGATATCACAGATTCTCCTTCACATGCCCAGAACATCAGGGAAAGCCCAAGGCATGCCGTAAATATTCAGCTGTCTTGAACAAGTCTTCCCTGAAAACTACCATCTTTGTGTTTCTGCCCATGATGTAACATGTCTGAACACCCACCTGTCCAATGCATCATGGGAATTATGTCGGCTGAGCACCACCCTACCATAATTTTCATCTCTGCAAAGAAAGAACAAAAGTATGTCACATAGAAAGTTACCACAACATTGGCTAAATGAGAAAGACATGTGGGCGAGCTCATGATTTTTGGCAAGGTTAATTCATTTTACATCAGTTGTAAGAGCACAGAATTATGTATCTATTCTAACCAGTCACCAGTTGACAGAGCATGAGAAACAAAACAAGTTTGTCAGTACACATGATCCTTTATCCCATGAGATTTCCACATGATTCAACAATGAATGAGTGTGGTTTTGTTTTGTTTTGCTTTATCAGAGGGTGAGGATATGAGCCCATTTACTTTACATATTTTTGGCATGAAGGCAAATACAAAACCTTTCCACAATTTTGTTTACGTTTAAGTAAGCCCATTATGTCTGGATATGTTGGTGGATTTGATAGTCCTCCTTCATAAAATGTGGGAAACCCAGTATCAATAGTTGTGGTTAAGGAGATTAATAATTCACAGGCGACCTAGCCCACTTTTGAACCATGAAAATATACAGTTTGCACTAGTTAGTCTTAAAAATAATCTTACAAAGTAGGCAGGGAAGTCATATACAATTCATAGTCAAGAACACTGATCAGGGATTTTGTGGCTTTTCTAAGACCACAAGGTTGACAAGTAACAGAGGTGGGTCTAGGACCTAGATCTTTTTTATTCCAAACCATTGCTTTTCCTACTGGTCTACCCTGCAATAGACTTTCATATGTAAAAATCTCAAAGTAATATCATTCTTATTTTGTACAGTGGAATTGACAGTACGGGCACTTTTAGGATATGTCGAAACATGTAGTGAAGTCTTTGAATTTGAGCCAAGGCAGAAAGTACTTGAACGTTTTCATGTCAACCCAACCAAACCTGAAATACCACATTATTCCTGGTTATGCTCCACTAACATTACTCAACACTCTCATATCATTTTTAATGAAGCTATAAAAGAATTGTAATAGACAATTAAATAGAAAGAGGAACAGTAAAACTGAAACAATGCCAGAAAATATACAGCCTCAAAGATCCCAAGAGAATTTTCTTATCTTCCTTCATATCCCTTCCTGAACCATTTGAAAGAATAGCAGTTACCAGGCATGTTTTTATCTGAGAAACCATTATAACACACAGCCCAGAACTGGGCCAGGGGAATCAGGGAAGCATCAAAGCCAATTTTCCCTTCATTCAGCAGTTCCCATGCCATCCAAGCTGGCTTCCCTGGGTTTTCTTAGGGAGGCATGCCTGGCATAAAAGCAACATTTCTCCCAACTGTGATTTGTCTTATACATTCTATCTTCACTCGTCTGTATAAATATTTGCAATCCAAAATGTATGGTCTACATTTGACATCACACTATCACTATAGAAAAATGGAAATGCTCTGACAGAAGCAGTAAATGCTGTTTCACGGAAGGAAATTATTGTTGTCCAATAGTGTTAACTCCAAAAGTTAGTGTGAGTCTCCAAATCTCTAAACACCCCTATATTTCCTTGAAATAATAATTTTCAATAACAGAAATTAATAGATATTTTAGATTTAACATTCACATGGATGCCCCTCAAATAACCATATCAGCAGAGTTTGTAGCTAGGTTAGAGTAAGTATCGTATAATGCAGGATTTCCCACCTTCAGGACTGCTGACACTTTGGGTTTGATACTTTCTTGTGGTAGGAGCCGTCCTGTGAATTACAGGACATTTAGCAGCATCCTTGCTCTCTACGCCCTAAATACCAGAAGCACTCCCCAATTTTGACAACAAAAATGTCTCCCAACCTTGTCAAATGTCTCCTGGAGGTAAAATTGCCCCTGGTTGAGAAACATTTGTGTAATGGAAAAACAATGGGCCGTGTTAAAATCTCAGCTCTATCACTGAATAGCTATGAGCCATTAGACAAGTTACATAGCTTCTCCAAGCTTAGATTCCTCTTTTGTAAAATGAGGAGATATAATACCTACCTTGTGTTTTATTGTAAAATTAGTGGTGCTTTATATATGTAAAGTATCTTGCTTAATAACCAAGCTTAATAACGAAGAATTCAGAAAATGTCTACATAATTTATAATATACACATAACATAATAAATATCCAGGCTGGACAAATACCTATTGCAAATCTATATTGGCAATAAAGCTATATGCCTATGGCCATAGTTTTCAAATCTTTAAACCTCTCAGCTAGTAGAAGCAATGCTCAAAAGAAAACTTTGTTGGTGGTAAGTACTTACAAAGTAATACCATATATCTCACCTTCCCAGTATCTAGAAGTAGACGGCACTAAAATAAGTTGGGAGTTTTTTTTTCAGTTTCTCTTGTACACATCAAAATTTTAGATATTAAATTTGGAATTATACTATTTTTATTTGTTTTTGCGGACATGATCAACATAGCAGCAATTGCCCGATCATGGATTAACTGTTACCTTTTTGGAAACTGGAACGTCATGTTTTCTTTTCAGTTTACCAAGAAAGCTCTAACATCTATCCTAGGTAACAAGCAGGGTAGTGATTCACGTTCTCTTATGTATGTGGATATTTAAAATGGCAGAGATATTCTTGAGATGCTGATGTAACCTATTTATGGTTACTACGTCTAACCAAAAATTAGACCATGCAACGAAGTATTTCAGGATAAAGGTATTCGCTTTTCGGATTAGCTTCCCAAACAGAGAATGCCTCTCTCTGCTCCTCCCTCCACCCACCGCGCTCCACGCCAGCTTACATTTCTTCTTCAGGACGTTTCTTTATCCAACTGTTGTCCTGTAAGAAAGTTCTTCTTTTGTTCACCTCGTGAAAATCCTGCTGCTTCCGTGTGGCTCCCTGAGTGCTGCTCTTCATCTCTATCAACAGAAACACGAAAGGCTGGAAGATGTAAGAGCGAGGAATTGAGTGTGGGCTTGTTAACCTGAAAATCCTGAGAGGCACATCTGATTGGCCAGCATCAATCTTCTAGGCTGGCAAGTCCAGCACTGTTTCAAAATACGATGCACCAGCAAGAGAGAACAGATCCCACACCCCATCACCGAAGATAACATATAAAGTTGCTCAGGTGCCAACTGAAACTCCCAGTGCCACTCATGAGGCCCCATCCAGCTCCTGGGAAAGGAGAACTCCCAGCCTGGGATAAACCGAGCCAGGATTTAGTGGGTTGGCCATTTTACCCCATAAGAAATATACCTTGGAAGCTCACAGAGGACTGTTTTTATACTATCGAGTAAGTAATAGGCCATAAGTCCTGGTTCATTTGATTCTAAGTAACTTAACCATTTTATCCTGTGAGAGCCAAACACAAAGAAGGTCATATTTTAAAAAAGATATTTTTATTGGTATTTATTTATTTTTTTAAAAAAATTCTGAATTTCAATTACATAACTAAAAGCTGTGGCATTTATACTTTTTCTTAAGTCTAACTTTGCAATGTTAATTAGACTGTTGTTTCTAAGCGTTCAACGTCTGTATTAAAGAATTGAGAACTGTGAGTTGTTTTTCTGAAATGTTAATGTTTTCTGCATAAAAGAAATATCATGTACATTACCATTTCCTGTGGGAGACATTTTTCTCAAAGTAACATTGGACATACTGCCTTCCAGTAAGGACCTAAAAGAAAAATGGGAAATAGAGAAAGCACAACAATGACTCTAAGAACCTGTGACTCTTTCATGACTGAGATTCACTTTTCAATGACATAGTCACATGATCTGTCATAACACATGCATGACATAAAGTGCCCCTCAGAACCTGAGAGCTCATCTCTTCCAACGTATTTCTTTTATAGATGGAGAAAATGAGGCCCAGGGAATTTGTGTATCCAGTGTGCTACATCATAAGCAATTGGTTGAATTAGGCCATCAATTAATGTAATTATTTAATCAATAATTATGCATTGGGTGTTTACAGTGTGCCTGGCACTGAGCCTGGTGTTGGGGACAGAAAAATGAATTAGACAAGTGTCTGATCATGGTCAAGAGGGAGAGAGAGAGAGAGATTGTGCTAAAGTGCACGGCACATTGTGAATGCCCAAAGAAGGGCTCCTCAGCTCCTTCCTGAAATAAAGCCAAAGCAAACTCAGGAAACTGCTGTGTGATTAGAAGGAAAGCAGCCAGGCACATGGAAATCACAGACTTGGAGAAACACTGGCCATTTTTTTTTTTTTTTGAGACATGGAAAATAGCAGAGCAGGAAGTTCCTTGACAGTATCATAGAGTTACCATAATAGCCCCTGTATTATCCATCTCTGAACTTCTCCTTCCAAGAAAAAAATAAACCTCTTTGTTTGTTCAAAAATTTTTCTTTTTTTGGTTTCTCAAGCCTAATGCTCTTCCTCCATGTTACTAAGCCATCGTGCAAGCAAATAGAAGGTCCAAAAGTCAATGTGAGTCTACAAAAGATGTGTGTGATTCTTTTATAAGTGAAACATGTGTTCAATGTCCCTAGCAAGAAAGGTCACTTGTTAAGCCCCTACCATGAACCACCTGCTGTACCACGTGTTTTATGCACATTATCTTATTTATTCCTTCAGGCGAATTCTATTATCTGTAATTATGGGAGCCCAAACCTCAGAGAGGTTAAATAACCTGCCCAAAGTGTGCAATTAGAGGAAGAATCAGGAGCTGTAGTTAGGTCTATGAGGTTGCAAAGCCAGGGCTCTCTTCAGTAAGTGATACTATATGGAACTCAAAGTGCCATGTGATATGATGCATACCAGGTACTCAGAGAAATGCGTGGAGCCCCAACTATGGATGATCTTGGGAGAGCAGGTGAGAGGAGCAGCAGGAATGAGTGGCTGCCCCAACATCTCCAGATAGCTCAGCCTCAAAACTCACTCCCCAACTATCACACTGCAGCCAGAAGTGGCCTGACATGGTTCCTGACTGAACTCCTTCCCGGAATCTGTCTCATACTAGATAGCTTGATAACATTTCATTCTCTCTCGTAGCCCCATTGATCCAAGTTAACTGAGAAAGGATCTCAGCCATTGATCCAAGCTAACTGAGAAAGGAAACTATAACGTATTTTATTTACAGGTGATATAGTTTCATAAGGATGCTAGGTTTTTCTCCTGAAATAGAAATTTGTAATATTGTGGGAAATTAAATTGTTCTCATCAAATGTACAAGTTGCTGAAACAGTGGGGGCCCCTGCCCAAGCCAGGGAAGTTCTGCTCTTTAGTCTGTTTTTCTTTCCCTTTTGGCATCTTTCCTACATCTTTAACACAACCTCTTTCAGCCCCACTTCCCTCTTCTTCCCTTAGCACCCATTGTCCATGTCACCTGAATCATCTCCTCATTCCCCCTCATTGAGTGGCTCCAGTGCCATTTCTAGAAGCTTCCAGATAAAGCCTCTAAGGTGCAAATATCCCTGTCTCATCAACCTCTCTACTTCCACAGGCATTTTACTGCAGTAGAGCTCTTTCCATCTTGTCCAGGATATAAAATAGTGCTTTATATATACATGGATATTTCCTGTTAGAAACAACTCAACTCAATCAGCCTGGCCAACATGGTGAAACCCCAGCTCTAGTAAAAATACAAAAATTAGTCAGGTGTGGTGGTGTGCACCTATAATCCCAGCTACTCGGGAGGCTGAGGCAGGAGAATCGCTTGAACCCAGGAGGCAGAGGTTGCAGTGAGCTAAGATTGCACCATTGCACTCCAGCCTGGGCAACAAAAGCAAAACTCTGTCTCAGAGAAGAAATGGTTCAACAATGTAAGTTTCTGTGAATAATATACTTGTTAAAAATGCCCTTTTGTGGAATGGATTAAAGACTCTCAAACTGGTTGTACTAAAAAAAAAAAAAAAACTGCAGCCAAACCTTATTGTTTTGTAATTCTTTAAAGAAATTACTTATTTCAGGTATGGAGGTTATCCTGAGCTTCCAATCTACTCAACACCCACATATTGACTCTTCAGTAGCCTCAGTTCAGCTAATTGGACTTATTTATAAATGCCATATTTCAGTTTCATTCCAATTAAGTTTTTAGCTTCTCACAAAAAAAAAGATGAAACTCTAATCTTGGCTTCTCATACGGCTGTTGCCAGTACATATGCCTCCTGATTACACACACCAGCAACTGTGTTTTAGAAGTGTAATATTATGGGAAAAGATGTGTGAATGCTGTATCTCTTATGCTGGGAACTAGAGAAACCTTTACCTATAAAGCACGTAATGCATGCATCGAAAATTATGATGTGAAATAATAATGTCAAAGTCTGTGAGGAGAGAGGCAAATATATTTTCAATTATTGGTCATCTTTCATTTCCTTTTTGTGGCCAAACACCAGAAAGAGCTAGTTTTTATCTACTGCCTACTACCTCTGCCAAGGACATGTGTCCTTAGGTTTTACATGAAATCATTCTGCTAAAGTTATGAATGAAATCAGTCAACATTCTTAGATCTTTTTGTATGCATTTTAAACTATTAGCATCTCCTATTTCTTCCATTTGTCTTCTTTTAGCTTCTCTTCATCTCCCCATGCCCTTACTCAATTTTCTTCAATATTTTCTATTTTTAATAACAGCACTTCCTCTGGGAGCATTTAGGTCCATTAGGTGACCCAATCCCCACCCCTCAGCCCCACAGCCCAGTCTGAGCCCCAGCTCCTCTTGTCCCAACGCCAAGAATTCCCTGAGCCAACTTTCACTTCAGCCCCCCCAGCCCAATCTCAGCCCCAGCTCTTCCTGTCCCAGTGCCAAGAATTTCCTGGGCCAGTTCCCAGCTCAGTTACAATCTTCATCAATCATCTTTTGGATCCTCTCCGCATAAAGACTTTTAAAATCTCACTCCTCCCTTCCCACCCAAGGACATAATGTCTCTTGGCTTACCTGATGAAGTCTTTACCACTCCCTGCTAACTTTCTCTTAAAAAAGATTGTGTAAACAAAGAAATTAAAATTTTAAAGAAGGCTCATAGGAAAGAGAATAGGAGAAAGAAGGTAGAAGAGAACAAAAATTTGCAGCAGAAAGTAAATTAACAAAATAAAGGATGATGGGAAAAAAGAAAAAAACAAGAATTTCAATCCTGACTGCTGAGATTTGGGGTCCCACAATAATAATAACTATTTTGAACTTATAGTTTGTAGGTGTTGTCTCATTTAAGCCTTGCATGCTTTTAGGTTGTTACTATTATTATACTCATTATTTACCTGAATGAAACTTCATGATGAATGGTTTCAGTGAAGTCAGAGTCTTTTTGCAGAAGGATAAGGTAGGAGTTGGAAATGTGGGCAGTGGGTGCAATGTAGGCAGATTTTTTTTCTGGAAGGAGTCTCAAGATGAGTAGTTTGACTGAGGTTACATAGCTAGTGAATCGCCCAGTTGGAATTCAAATTCAAGTCAGCCTGACACCAAAGTACCCATCTCGGAAGCCCGGGAAACAAAGAGGAGTCAACAGGAGGAAATTTATTGGACTAAAAAGTGGTGAATAAAAAAGAATGAAATCATGTTCTTTGCAGCAACATGGATCCAGCTGGAGGTCATTATCCTAAGTGAATTAATGCAAAAACAGAAAACCAAATACCAAATGTCTCCCCTTCTAAGTAGGAGCCAAACATTGGATACTCATGGACATAAAGGTGGCAACAATAGAGATTCATGATGGAGCTCAACGGAGAATTGGAGTAGACTTTCTTTGACCATGTTACAAAGTATCATGAGATCTATGCAGCGTGACGTGGATATTTTAACTGCTCCAAAATGTTAATCAGTTTATCAAGCTTCTAATATACTTTTACAAATTACTATCTTTATGAAAGACCAAATGTCAATAGTTGCCCAGGGCAAATCTCTTTAGTCATAAAGAATATAAAAAAGACAAAGTAGAATAAGTAAGCAAATACAGAAAAGGGGTCTAGAAAATGCCATAGGGTGGCAATTGGCCTGGGTGATATTCACTTTTGCTTATAAAAAAAGTCCTGAGGGTTTCAGGGCCCAGTAACAGTCCAAACCCACCACTACTTGTTTCCCAGAAATCAATGAAACAGGGAGAATCCCTAGGAACTGGAAAAGGACAAATGTCATAAAACCATTTTCAATTGAAGAATAAGAGGAGTTCTTTACTGCATCTATTCAACTCTTCTCTCTTCTTTTTTATTAGTCTGGCTAGCAGTCTGTCTATTTTGTTGATCTATTAAAAAATCAAGTTCTTGGATTTATTGATTTTTTGCAGGGATTTTTGTGTCTCTATATCCTTCAGTTCTACTCTGATCTTAGTTATTTCTTGCCTTCTGCTAGATTTTGAATTCGTTTGATCTTGCTCCTCTTGCTCTTTCAATTTTGATGATAGGGTGTTGATTTGAGATCTTTCCTCACTTTTCATGTGGGCATTAATTGCTGTAAATTTCCCTGTGGAAACTGCTTTAAATGTGTCCCAGAGATTCTGGTATGTGGTGTCTTCATTTATCTCTGCCTTCATTTCATTGATTATCCAGTCAACATTCAGGAGAAAGTTGTTCAGTTTGCAAGTAGTTGTGCTGTTTTGAGTGAGTTTTTTAATCCTGAGCTCTAATTTGATTGCACTGTGGTCTGACAGACTGTTTGTTATGATTTCCATTCTTTTGCATTTGCTGAGGAGTGATTTACTTCCAATTATGTGTTCATC